GGGAAGAAAGAGAAAGCTATTCCCATTTCTTATAAATCAAGTCATTAAGAAATCGTTAAAATTGCAGCACTGTCCTTAGACACATTCTTTTAAAAAGTATGTCTCACACTTGCTCAGATCTATTGAAGTAGCAAAAACAGACTTGTGGACAAAAAAGTTTGATTTTCCATTTTAATGTATGGTCAGTCGTCACATTTCAGTTGAAGCAGGAAGCAACCTTAAACATTGTTTCCTACTCTCTACTTAGAGTAACAGTAGTGCCCAGTGAGAAGCTGTTAGGGACCCTGAGAAAAAAAAAGGCTCGTTGGTGAAATAAAATGGCAAACCATGCTTTCTACATCCCTGTCTTAATGAGTCATTTGGAATATAGCCTCCTGAAGACTCTGAAAAGACCTAGAAAAAAGAAACCTGTTTGAATTCTTACAATTGTTTTTGACGGGGAACTATTTTTCTCTGGTCAGTTATTAACATCTCATGGGACGTCTGTGTTCTGAGGAAAACAGCTTGGGGAATGTCGCTAGAGTCTTGACATTTCAATTTTGCAGCAAACTTGGAAAGTAAAAACGCAGATGAAAAGGAGAAAGAACAGTCTTCCTCAATACCATCTAGACAGATTCATTCACATGAGATGCAGTGTTTTTCTGCTTCCCCATCCATCTGTCACGAGTGCCGGTTCCATCAAGAATGGCCAGAGTACCCATGATTTTGTACCCTGGCCGACAAACAACTCTGGACTGACTGCTGGTGAGCAAAGCAGCCCCAGCCTCCTTGAGACAGTCCCCTGAGCTTAAAGGAGCACGGACACTAACATCTCTGTCTGACTTGTTACAGATCCTAGACATACTTGCTGCCACTGCACGCTCCTTACAACCCCCAAACTCTAGCCCTTTTCACTTCCTATCTAATAGATTCTCCAAGGACATGGGATCCTAAATGACTTCTACCTGGATTAAGTAAGACTAGAAGAACCACCGCCTCTAAGACCATGTCTTTGGAGTTCCTTAACGATCTCTAGTTGGTGGCTCAGCAGCACCAAAGTGGTTTTGACAAGTGTCTCACTGGAAAAGCCCACACCCAGGCACACGTGCGGAGGGCAACCGTAGCAAACTTGTCGAACAAAATCACGTCCAGCTTCCCCATTAACCGCAGTCATTTCTTAATTTAACTGCAATCTCTTTCCTGTATTTCAAACACTGTTGCCAATATGAAGTGGAATACCATATTCAAAATTCACATTCTTGTGACTCTCAAATATTGCACATGTTGCCAACTTTAGATTATGGACATTCTAAAAGAAGTACTGACTGAAAATCAGATGTTTCTAAGAGAGCACACAACTTGTACAGTTGTGCCTAGAAAACTGTATCTCTTTCAGATTACTGAACTAAGGGTTTCCTGGATTAAAAAGGTATTCCAATTGCCAATAGAAAGTAAACATGTCTATTTTGTGTTCCACTATTGCTTCTTTTTTAACAGACTTGTATTCAAATTTGAGCCTAACATAGTATCTATCCCAGAGGAATACTGAGAGGATTAAGTATGCAAAGTACGTAACACAGTGCTAGAAAATACAGTGTTTAACAAAGTGAGTTCCTTTAATTGTAAATTATTTGATTACTAACAGAATTAGGTTTTTTTCTTTTTAGAAGATAGTTTGATATGTATTATCCTTGTGACAGATTGTGTCTAATTATAGGATTCTTTATTCTTAGTTTTTATTTTATTTATTTTTATTTTAATATAATTTATTGTCAAATTGGCTAACATACAGTGTGTAAGGTGTGCTCTTGGTTTTCGGGGTAGATTCTCTTGGTTTTTGGGGAATCCCAACAAATGCCCTCCTCAATGCCCATCACCCATTTTTCCCTCTCCCCAGCACCCCCCCATCAACCCTCAGTTTGTTCTCTGTATTTAAGGGTCTCCTATGGTTTGCCTAACCTCCCTCTCTGTTTGTAACTATTTTTTCCCCCTTCCCTCCCCCCCATGGTCTTCTGTTAAGTTTCTCAAGATCGACATATGAGTGAAAACGTATGATATCTGTCCTTCTCTGACTGATTTATTTCACTCAGCATAATACCTTCCAGTTCCATCCACATTCTTAGTTTTTAAAGAGAAATAGTTTAAGTCGTGTCATTTTAACAGTATTTTAATATATTTACAAAATATATACAGTTGTAAATGTGTAAGAAAGATCTGGAATAGATGCAAACCTAACTCAGTGGTGGTTACTTCTGGGCAATGATGTCTGCAGAAGACTGAAAAATCTGATCTTTCACTTTCCATTTATAATTAACATTTTTCATAACCAGTACATATCACTTTTGCCTTATTAATTTTTTCCTTTCTATTTTATTACCATTTCTTGAGTGCCCACTCAAGAATGCCAAGTTCTGGGGCGCCTGGGTGGAGCAGTCGGTTAAGCGTCCGACCCCGCCAGGTCAATGACCATGGGGTCCTGGAGTTCGAGTCTGCCAGGTTCTGGCTGATGGCTCAGAGTCTGGAGCCTGAGCCTGGGATTCTTGTGTCTTCCCTTCTCTCTCTGCCCTCTGCTCATGCTCTCTGTCTTTCTGTCCCAAAAATAAATAAACGTTGAAAAAAAAATTAAAAAAAAAAAAAGAATGCCAAGTTCTATGCCAGGTGCTGGGGACAAAAATATAAATATGACCTAGATAGTCTACTTCAAAGGGACATGATTTCAAACTGAAGGGAGTTTCTTTTTAAAAGTAATATATGAATGTGTTAATAATGAGAGATATCAATGAAGATACATACTGTTGTTATAACATACATTAAAATGCTATCTTAGGTGAGACCTGAGACCACTGTCCACTTTGCTTCATTGAACTGAATGTGCTGGGAATTCTATGTATAATGAATCATTCCAGATCTCTTTTACCTGGCACTGACTAAAGAGATATGGGTGTTCCTTCCCAGAAGTTTGTTCAGGAGTGAGCCACTGAAGAGCAGAAGACTTTGGAGATGTCTCAAAAGAAATTTCTATAACGACTTCTTGATTTCTGTATGCAACAAACAAATATATTAGTAGCATATAATTCAATCTAACTAAAGTTTGGGTTCATAATACACAGAGTATATACTATAAATAATATTTTACAAGGTCTCGTGACTGATGGAACGTAAGCTCTAGAATGCTGCCTCCTAAGTAGGTCAAGTTTGCCTCTCACGTTCTTACCTGAATGCCAGCTTCCGGGTCCTTTTCACTCCACCATGCTAACTGCTTACGAAGATGTAACAGGAACAGGAACTAATATTCGTGGAGTACACTACTGATTGTCACACACTTGCGCTTGTGGTATCATGTAATCTTTTATGATAATGGGAAAGTGGAAGAAATAATTTTGGAACCGTGACTACTCCAGCAGTGGATGCCACAGCACGACACAGAGTTGTACTGGCCTGCAAACTTACCGGACAGGTCGACATTGAGAAGAAGCATTTAGAAACTTGTAGTCAGGGGTGCCTGGGTGGCGCAGTCGGTTAAGCGTCCGACTTCAGCCAGGTCACGATCTCGCGGTCTGTAAGTTCGAGCCCCGCGTCGGGCTCTGGGCTGATGGCTCAGAGCCTGGAGCCTGTTTCCGATTCTGTGTCTCCCTCTCTCTCTGCCCCTCCCCTGTTCATGCTCTGTCTCTCTCTGTCCCAAAAATAAATAAACGTTGAAAAAAAAAAAAGAAACTTGTAGTTATTTTTACATCTGCTGAATCTAGTAATCAAAAATGTGTGCTTGCTTCTAATCTCTTGCTTCTAATGCAATTCATTTTTATTGCATTTTATAAAAGAATCAGCCTGTGACAGATTGGAAATACCAAGAACTGGCCCTTTACCTCAGACAGTTTGAGCAGCACTCATAGTGAGGAAATAGCAAGAGTTGTGGAGACTGGCAGCCATGCCTGTGAATCCTGAATCTACAACCTACTGGTTCAGGGAACTTGGGCAAGTTATTCAACCACCCTCTGCCATAGTTCTTTATCTGCAGAAAGAGGTCAATGATATCTACCTGACAAGTTACATGTGGTTGTTTCTTTTTCTTAAACAGGAAGAGGAGGCATGAAAATACTGGCCACTGGAAGGTGAGGGTAGATCATTCTTGTTTTAGGCCAATGGTTTTCCACCCTTTCTCCCCTTCCCAATTTACCAAGGAGTGGGATACACCCCTGATATGACAACTGTGGCTGCCACTTTCTTGAATAAGTTATTTTATTTCTCTGAGGTTCCCTTTCCTCATTTGTAAAATGGAAATCACACCACAACGGTTATTGTAAGGATTAGATAAATTATGTAAATTCGGTAAGTTAGATAAACGTATTTAAAGCATTATCTCAAGATTGGTATACAGAAATGGTTCTATGTTTGTCATTGCCATTATTCCATTAATAAAAGTGGCTGGCCTCTGGGGAAAAGGTGAAAAATGTGCAGCTTGTAAAAGTTTCCCAGGTGATCCTGAAATGCCTCCTTAAGATGGCATGCTCCCATCATCACTCTAGGTATTAGTAAAATGATCAGTAAAGAAGTAACAGTTAGCAAAACTCCTATTCTTCAGGATTTTGTACAATGAATTTCTTTTTTTTTAATTTTTTTTTTCAACGTTTATTTATTTTTGGGACAGAGAGAGACAGAGCATGAACGGGGGAGGGGCAGAGAGAGAGGGAGACACAGAATCGGAAACAGGCTCCAGGCTCTGAGCCATCAGCCCAGAGCCTGACGCGGGGCTCGAACTCCCGGACCTGGCTGAAGTCGGACGCTTAACCGACTGCGCCACCCAGGCGCCCCTGTACAATGAATTTCTTTAGTATCTTAAGAACATATAACTTTTACCATAAACTTCAATCTGAGGAGATCAGTAAGAGCACCAGTTACTACCTATAGTCAAACTAGAAACAGGAAAGGAAAATTGTTTACATTAAAAATACTTTTTCTCTATTATTTAGCTATGTAAAAGAGAAAGATAATAACATTCATACTTGCTCAGAGCAATAGGAAGAGAGATTTCCATTGGTGATCCTCTGTAACTTTGTCTTTCTCCAAGAGCATATTTAACGTCTTGTCCATTGATGACCACTTTTTCTATTGTGAGGTCCTTGGTATCCAAAATCTAGAATTAAATTAGCGTTTTTAAGTGATAAGAAAATTGTTTTATATGCACCAGAGAAAACTAATATTAGTTATGGGTTAACTATAATGATTACAGAGTAGAACTAGTTGCTCATAGAGAGTAAAATACAGAGTGAAATTACAAGAATTAAGTCAAAAGTTAGTGTAGGTCCTGTCTCTTGGGGCTCTAAGCTTCCTGAAAAATTTTTGGTTCTAAAGTTTGCATGTATATCATTAGGTAATTCCGGGATAGTCCCACAAATTTGAGGTTTTAAGTGGAAGTCAAATCTAATTTAAAATGCCTTTGTTCCTATCTCCTAAAACTTAACTTTCCTGTTATGAAAAACATTCACCTCGAACTTAAAAGTTTCTTTCATCACCACTCCTTGATGTATCTCACCATGTATTTCTTCCTGAAATTCCAACTCCTATGTACTTGCATCTATCCCAAAATTAAAAGAAACCCTGGCACTTGCTGGGCAAATACGCAGGCTGTATACTTGCCATTATGTACCTTGAAAAAGCCCAACCTGGGCGGCAGGGGGGGCAGCTCCTACCACATGACCTACCGAGGACTGGGAGAGGGTGTCTACTTGCCGTGGCCCATCAAGGACAACTGCATGGGGCAGGAAAGGAGTGGCAGCAGGTGTCTGAGTGCTTTCCATCCCCATAATCCTCCATCCGAGCCCTAGAGACCATACCTTTCATCATCTCTCTCTTGCTCTAGAATCTTCAACCTTCCTATGCCACAAGACTGTTTCCAAACAACCTGAACAAGTCTCCCAATGTTACTTTTTAAACTTCACTTGATCAATCTGCCCTGATACCTATTCATTTGTCTCCTTCCTTTCTTTTTTTAAAGTTTATTTTGAGAGAAAGAGAGATCGGCAAAGAGCATGCACACCCACAGGCGAGAGCCTGAGCAGGGGAAGACAGAGAGAGAGAGACAGAATCCTAAGCAGGCTCCGTGTTGTCAGCACACAGCCTGACATGGGGCTCAAACTCACAGACCCTGAGATCATGACCTGAGCTGAAATCGTGAGTCGGACACAACCTACCGAGCCACCCAGGCACCCCTGTCTCCTTCCATTCTTAAACTCTATGGGCAACCTATGGCTGCTATTTCCTCTTCCTCATCAATCTCTCCTCCTTTTTTCCTTTCTCCCTCTTCAGTCTGGCTTCTCCATCCTCTGCTACTGAGAGGGCAGGACACTCCTCCTGATCGAGGGGTCTTTTCTGCTCTGTAATCTGGACCCCCATCCACTCATAGCCCTTATGGGCCACCTCATCTGTTTGATGTCCTTTCCTTGGCTTCTTTGAGTTTAAACATGAATGGTTTTCCTCCTTGTCTAATGCCATTTCCTCCACCTCCTTTCTAGCTCCTAAAAATGGATATGTCCCAATGTTCTAGCTTTGATCCCCAGATTTTCTTACCATATTCGTCACTCTCTCATTCTCACTCATCCCGTGTCATCAACCAATACCTCTGTGCTGATGACTACAGTCTGTTTCTACAGTTGTTACCTCTTCCCCAGGACTGCCGCTCGGTTTCTGAGTTGCCTGCTTGACATTTCCATGGGAAATATTGCCTCATATTCAGTGGGCTTCTCAAAATTCCAAAAATGAAGCTACCTGGATGTCCCTGAAATCAGTTCTCTCCCTTTATTTCTGTTCTGTTAACAGAATCCTCAAGGTACCTAAGGTTTGAGACATTCAAATAATCCACAACTGATCCCACTTCCCAATCCCCCATAGCCAATTAACCAATTTTTCTTTCATGCCGTCCTCATACTTTCTTCTCTGTCCTTCTACCACCACTGTAGGCCAGACCCTGCCTTAGAACCACCTGCGGTCTGATCTCCCTACCTCTGGCATCTTTTTACTGAAATCTGGCTGCAGTAGCAGGGGGAGTTAGAGGACCAGCTGCTTCGCTTTCAAGTTGGTTAACTGAACTATAAACTCAGGAAAAGTCACAAGGGCAGTCGTTAATTTGATTCCTACCTCTCTAGAGTCAATGATACTTGGTTGGAAAAAAATCTCCATTCTGGTTTGATCTTTTTTTAAAGCAGCCATATTTGTTAGGGGAGCCACCTGTTTTCCTGCTAATAGGTAATTATTCCTTTGGGGTTACTTTCTTCTGGGGGCACCTCAACCATCTCCCTTACTCTAAATTAGTAGAACTGACTTATCTTCTTGCACTTGCATATTCAGAATATTTGGTTTTATTAGATTTATATCTTATTGAGAATGAGAGGGTTACTCCTTTGTGCCTTCCTATTCCAGTACCCATTTCTGGCTATCTGATTTATTTTAAAAACTTAATTTGAATATCTATGTATATAACTACTCATGTTTACACGACTTTCATAACCAAAAGGATGACTCAACTGGCTCATTTCCCAGAGGAACATATTCTATTGTCTGTATTGCCTAAACTTTTCAAATCTATTCAGAATCAGAGAGTCAGATTACTGTTATGACTATTTTTTTAATCTTTTTCATATCCTCTGAACTTAATACAGTAGTTGGTCCAAATCTCTCCTATAGCATTTATTGTACCATATTATATTGCTATGTTTTCTCTACTAGCTTGAGGGTTCTTAAAAAGACAGAAACCTTCTTAGGTTTGCATTCCCAGAGTTCAGCACAGTACCTGAAAAGTAGTAGGTATCAGTTGATATCAGCATGCAGCAAGTGCTGAGCCAAGAGACAATAGAAAACGCAGTGGTTAAGCTATATATCTCAAGTCTTAACCTCAGCTATCATTCTCAAATTAAGAAATTCCCCTTCAAATTTCACTAATAAACGTTATTAAACAATTGATCAAAAATAGTAATAGGGACAAAAAGGAAACTGGATAGTTGAAAAGCTGGAAATAGTACTTTTCAATAAAGTCTTACTGAACACCAACTGTGTATAAGACCAAGATACCCACATGCAGTTGTAAGAAACAGACCTACTAATGGTAGGAAGTTACTAGGAAGTTACTAATTTACTATATCTCACAGTATCCTCTTTGAATAACACCCCCAAAACCAGCTGGCTAGATGCCATGGAATATATAACCAATTCCCTTTTGCACAGGCTGCTGGGAAGCTCCATGTTAAACCTCGCAACCCACTTCTCTTTTTTTAGGACTTTGTGCCATACATTTGGTTTCCCTACCCTTATTCTCTATTCCTCCAAATTCTTTAAAAAAAATTTTTTTTAATGTTTGTTTATTTGAGAGAGAGAGACAGAGCGTGAGTGGGGAAGGGGCAGAGAGAGAGGGAGACACAGAATCCAAAGCAGGCTTCAGGCTCTGAGCTGTCAGCACACAGCCCGATGGGGGGCCCAAACCTACAAACCGCGAGATCATGACCTGAGCTGAAGTCTCATGCTTAACTAACTGAGCCACCCATGTGCCACTCTCTTCCTCCAAATTCTTAAAGTATTTTTAATCTTATAATATTGTATATGTTTTTTTAAAGCAAGCTCAAATTCTTTCTTCAACAAAGCATGGCTCTAAATTAAAAAGCTTTATGGGGCACCTGGGTGGCTCAGTTGGTTAAGCCCTGGACTTTGGCTCAGGTCATGATCTCATAGTTCGTGGATTTGAGCCCCGCAGCAGGCTCTCTGCTAACAGTTCAGAGGCTGCTTTGGATTCTGTGTCTCTCTCTCTTCCCTTCCCCTGCTCACGCACATGTTCTTTCTCTCTCTCAAAAATGAATAAACATGAAAAAAATTAAGTTAAAAAGCTTTATGCCTCAGTGTTATGTCTCTACATTTTCTATTTGTTACTTGCAGGATGCTATAACGAAAAAAGCATGGGGTTATTGTTAAAACCAAAACTAAAACAACACCTTGATTTGATTCCCAGCTCAGCTATTTACTTAGTGAAGACAGGAGGGTTTGCAGTCAGAAAGATCTGTGTTCACATCCTGGCTTCTGCAACTTACTAGTGAATGATCTTGGTCAAGACATTAAAAACTCTTTGAGCCATCAACTGACAGAACACCTAAAAAAATTGAAAATTTTAATACAAGAAACAAATGCTTGGAAGTTATCACAAATGAGTATTAAACTTCAGTGCAAATAACCCAAAACTTCAGAAGAACTTTCAGAAAAGCTGGGATTTAGTCCTAGCGGGGTTCCTTCAACATTCCCAGCATCAAGGACTCCTAGAATGAAGTGAGAAAGGACACTTGATGTCCTCACCCAGCACTGCCACTGGGTCCTCTCTATTGGTGGTGGTGAGGCTGAGGTCCTCTCACCTTCAAGATACACTTAGCACATTTTTAGTGCAGCCCATGTAAACTTTAGGCACTGCTTTCTAATTGAATTCATCCATTAGTTCATCAAACTAACAACACGTCCTCTACCTGCCAGGTGCTATACTAAGAACCTGAGATACAAAGAGCCATGAAACACAGAACTACCTTCAAGAGCCTGTAATCTAGCAGAGGAAAGATGCTAATGTTGAATAAATAAAACCAAACTCTTGGCCTCAAGTTGTTGTGATAAATAAGCAAATTACAAACAGATGCCACTGTATACAACTAGACTTCCTTGCATAAAATCTAACATTATAATTCTCGGCTCTAATTTACTAAACAGACATGCCAGCCAGACATCCTGATTTAAAAACCTTACTTCTCTCAAGATTTGGGGAATGAAGAAAACAATGGGCAAGTTTTTAGATTGGAACACTGAATGTACATTCTTTTCCAAACTGAAGCATCCTGTCTTGTGCTTCCTCAAGGATCAGAGTTCAGTCTTTATTTTTACAAAACAGGTGAGAGTGCAAGGTCGTATTAAGCAGTGATAAACTATCAAAATCTACTTTCTTTTAATAAAAAGAGAGATTGCATTGAAGTGGCCAATCCTACCAGGGCAAAGCTGCCTGCAATAAAAGATAGCATGGTACTTCAGGCAGAACAGAGTACAACCTACAAGGAAATAGATATCTTCTTGCCTGTGATATTAATTTTCTTCCTTGTAGTATTTTTGGTGACTAAATATCAATATATAGAGGAGTCCACCTACTTTTCAAATCAGAATTAGTCTAGCAAGATGGTAAAGGGCAAAGAGTAGGTTACCTGCTACATTAGTTCATATTAATAAACTCAAAACACAGGCCTATTACACAAACAGGAGTCATGAGAACCACCAATTCTTATCTAAACTTATAATTATACCCAACTAATTGACCCCACTAATTTCCCACCATCAAGCCTACAACGTATGGTGATCAGGTTGCTTAATGCTGTGCTTTAGTAGATGCCACAATACTCTATGCAAAATACACTGGGCCTGGCATTTTAAACCCTTGTCCCTCTTATTTCTAAAATGCTCACCTATGAAATTCTTCAGGTGGAAGGTACAATCCAAATACTATCACTTTGAGTAAGAACACTGAAAACAAGTTATGTTGTACACATAAAATAATTTAATCATGCTCCATAAATCTAAACAAACTTTTCATCACTCAAGTGGCTAGCGATCTTGTGAAAGTACATTACTTTCTAAGAAGCGCAATAATTACTCGCTCCTTGGAACCAACTATAATACACTGCATTGAGATACGCTTGGAAAGCCTGAATGGCCCAACGGTCCTTAAATTATTTGAAGAGAAGGGCAATAAGAATCAAAGGTAGAAGGACCATGACCCTGGAGAAAAAGAGCTGCATCTAGAGTTAGCAGAGACTGGAAATACCAAAGCAGTAGGGATAGACGGGTCTGGAGCTGGAAATCCTAAGGGATTTGAGAAACATTGGTAGGGAGGCTGAGGAAAGACTACGATAGGTCGATGGGTCCCGTCCTGCAGACGTGCAGGTTGAAATAAGGTGCCTGGGAGCAAAGGATCAGCATCCGCAGGACATTGGGTGTGAGACCTAGATGAGACTGTGGACTGAGGAAGGTGCGCTGGGGGACTGGAAGAAATCTGGGGCCCGAGGAGGGAGTTCTGGGCTGCAGGCCGAGGAAATGGGGAGGCCACAAGGGGGTTAGCGCCAGAAACTAGGATTACAGGGGAGGGAGGGTTCGTGCTAAAATGAAGCCTGAGCGCTGGGTGAGGAGCAGGGCGTGGATGGGGCGCTAGGATGTGCCCAGGGACTGGGAAGAGGAGTCTGGGGAGAGAGGCGCAGGAAGAGACACTTAGGTATATTCAGGGGCTGACGGAGGGATGCAGAGACATAAGTGGGTTTGGGAGGAGGAGATATAGGGTGAGTGGGGGCTGAGGAAGGGGAGGCTGAGAAATGAGTGAGGGCTGAAGGGGAGGTGTGGAATATGAGTTGAGGGCTGCAGACGGACCGAGGTGCGGGGCTGGGAAGGGGCGGCAGCCGGGAAAGGGACGCGACGCGGGCGGCCGGAGAGAGGCGGACACTGGGCGCTCGTCCCACCGTACCAGGCTGCGCAGATTGTCCTCCTGAGACTGCACCGTGAGCGCGGCGGTGCCGGTCAACACCCGGCGGGTAAAGTCGACGCTGCAGCGTAGGTGCAGGTGCTTGGTCCGGCAGACCGAAGCCGGAGAGGCCAAGGAGCACGTATCCACTACCTCGGGCATGGCTCTGAGGAGTCCCTCCGCACGCCGATCTGCACCCCAAAACCCAGCTGCCAGACTACTCGACTGAGCGAGAGGAGGGAGGGAGGTAAAGAAGAGCTGAAGGACTCGTGGCGCCCGCCGGGAAGGGAAGTTTCTCAAAGTGAGAGAAGAGTAGGTTGCCCCGTGGCTGGAACTACAAGTTCCGTGATGCAGAGCGAGGAGGCGTGCGCTATGCTCCCTGGGAGTGTGTGTGTTGGGGTGGGGGGTGCTGAAAGGACTGGGGACATTCCTGAAAGGAGAGGAGGAGGAAGAGGAGGGGAGTGGGAGCAGCCGGTGGAGGGGTGGGCCGACGGAAATGATCCCAAGTGTAACGGGGAGATCAAGTGAATGCTTCCATTTTAGTTTCGTCCAACTTCGGTAGAAATTGCAATGGCAATTGAAGAATGTCAGACCTATTGGTAGTAGCGGGCAGTAAAGACAGGGCAGGGTTAGAAGCAATAAGAGGCCTAGCAGAAGGCCTGTCTTCGTGCAGTTCCTCGTTAGTATAGTGGTGAGTATCCCCGCCTGTCACGCGGGAGACCGGGGTTCGATTCCCCGACGGGGAGGCACAGAGAGGTTTTTACGTTTTCTTTTATTACCTTTACAACAACTGTGATAAAAGTGCACCTTCAAACCTTTTAAAAGTTAGTACGGAAGAAATAACCAATGTCGAATTACCTGTAAGTGTTACTTTTTAAGAGTTGTTTGGTTGCTGGCTTGCCGTGTCGGCAACCCAATACACGTGAGCTAAATATTGCATCAATTCAACAGGATTTTCTTTAGTGCTTCTTAGGTCCATTTCCAAGCCCTGGAGAGCAAAAACAGAATAAGCCAATATTCCCGTTTTAGAAATTTAGGAAGGTCATTTCAATATACTGTAATGAGAGAATTCTGTGATGTTGAGTATGTGCTGGCCACAAGATTGGAATTTGGAGCTGGGACATCTAGCTCGGCTCTGGGGCTCTTCCAGAAGGTGAGGAAAGATTGAAGGATGATTTCCTTTGGGATGGGACCTCAGAGTTGAAGCTGGAAAAACGGGGAGAGGACAGGATTCAGAGTCCTTTAAATAGCTGGTTCTTTAATCCTGAATTCATGGAGCGGGGTGGGGGGGGGCTGGGGGGGCTGGGGGGGGGAGGCGGGGCATTGAAGAATTTTAAACAAGTGAGGGACATGGTCAGATTCACGTCATGGAGAGAACGCTGGTGGTTATTCAGAGAATGGCTATGAGTTATCAAAAACAGAGGCAGGTGAGTTAGGAAACTATTAGAATAGTCCAGGAAGAGGATGCAGGGGGCCTAACAAGAGAGAATAAGTAAAGATGGAAAAGAAGGAATACTTAAGAGATAAGCGGATTCACAGACTAAGAAGCAGCCTAAAGTGTTTCTCAGATTTTTGGCTTCAGTGTGTGAGCAATCATTCAGGTGAGCAACCATATTAAGAGGACAGATTTAGGCGGGATGATCTAATTTTAATTTTGGACACTCAGAGTTTTAGAATGTATAGGAGTCAAAGTGGAGATGTCTGTGAATCACTTGGATATTTAAATCCATAGATCTGGGGAAGTTTATGGCAGATATCAGAACATCCGGGAATGTGGCAGGTGAAGCTCTGGCAGTGAATGAGCTCAGTCCAAGTAGAGTGTGTAAAGGGAACAGCAGTGAAAACAGGTTGAAAGCTGGGAGAACAGCAGGTTTTAACAAAAAAAGGCTAAAGGAAGGAGGGAATCCTTTCATAATGTATGCATATATCAAATCACCACAATGTACACTTTAAATATATTACAGTTTTATTTGTCAATTATATCTCAATAAAGCTGAAATTTTAAAAAAGGGTCAAGGACAGTAGGAACTCATGAAACAAACTAGGAAGAGCCAACCAGCAATGGCAAATGCAGCCTGGAGGGCCATTAAAATAAAAAATAAAAAGCCTCCTTTGGATTCAGCAATGGGGTGGAAGTAGGCAGGATGGTGGTTTTATTGAGGTTTGTAATTTCGTGGAAGGTGGATGCCGGAGAGCAATAGGTTGAGCAATAAAAGAGAACAGGGAGACAGAACGTGTCAAGACGTTTGGCCAAGTTGAGAAAGGAAGACAAAAGAGGAATGGAGAAGAATGTGGCATTGAGAGCGTGTTTTATTTTTTTAGGGAAAGAGATTCCTTAACATGCTTAGATATAGATGTGAACGGGTTTCTAGAGAAGAAGAAATTGAAGATTTAAAAAGTGTGGGAGGTTGTGGCTTAAGCAAGTCACACCACCAAGTGTGGTTGTTGTTGGCTTAAGCAAGCCAAAGGAAAACAAAATAAAATAAAAACATCCAAAACTATGAAATCCAATATTTTACACGTGCAAAAGTCTGAATTTCATAGGACCTAAGAATCCGTGACATAGTTGACATTTGCACACATTTTTTGAGATTTGCATTTTTTGACATTTGCATACATTTGAAGATCAAATGATCTTCCTCATGGAGAAAGGATAGTTTGTTTTAATAAAAGAATGTCAATATCATCATCTTCTATTATCAATTACCAAGAGCCCACAGGGTTTATGCCAATGTGTGCAAAAAGAGGGAGTCACAGGCAACCACAAATGAATTCCTCAAATTGATTAATAGATTAGTCAAAAGATAGATATTCAGTCGCAATTACCTTCTAAGATACCACTGACCCCAAATACAGTGTCCAAAATTAGCAATTCACAAACAATAGAAGTTTTCTTCATATCCAGTGGTGGATTGGGAAGGTTTAAAAACATGAAGCTTGGGCCACGTGGGTGGCTCAGTCAGTTATGCATCCAGCTTTAGCTCAGGTCACGATCTCATGGTTCATGGGTTTTGGCCCTGCGTTGGGCTCTGTGCCGACAGCTCAGAGCCTGGAGCCTGCTTTGGATTCTGTGTCTCCTTCTCTTTCTGCCCCTACCCCACTCACGCTCTCTCTCTCTCTCAAAAATAAATAAACATTAAAAAAATAAAAACATGAACTATTCCATTGCTTCTATAAAAGAATGATAACAATAAGAATGATATACAAAAGGAGACTTTATTAAGGATGAAATGTAAAATTTTATTAAAAGAAGTAGTAAATATATTTACAGAGCCATTTGAACAGGGAGTATTTTAGCTCTACTGCTCACCTGGAAAAATTACTTAATCCCTAGAATCCTCAATCCTTTCGGGAAAATTGAGATACCTGTGCCTCATGGGGTTGTTGGAAGGATGAAATGAAATAATGCATGTGAAGTGCTAAGCATTGTACTTGGCATAGTGATCATTTGTTACATGTTTGCTGCTATTATTTTTAGTGGTTTTTATTTTGTCCATTTTGGTCACGTTAATATGTGTTTTTCCTTATTTTGTTAGCAAGAGTTTTTAGGAAGACCTGGAAAATGAGAAGCAACCAAGACATGGGAAATCAGCAGATAGTGCCAAAAGAGACCTCTAAAGAGAGTTCCCAACATTAGTGATGATCACCTGTTTTTGAAATATATTTACATTTAGGAAATTTGGGAAATTGCAATAGGTGTATTAACACATGACTTCCTATTTCCATCATGTCGAGCTCTTCAGGGTCACCTTCACACGCCAAACTTCAGCCAAGCTCAGAGTAGCTTGTGCAAGAAAGATCTCAGCTCTCTGGAGCTCTTCCTTAAGACTTAACCTCCACCCAGTCCCCAGGGCTCCTAGAAAGAGTTCTCTCCCAGGAGCTCTCTCCCGTCCCTCTCGTCTGGACAGGAGTCTAGCAGAATCTCTTTTCCTGACAGAACAGAAGTGTACGTGACGCCCTTCCTGTTCTCCTTCCAATGGGTGAGAAAGTGGAAGAAATTATTTTAGCTACTTTTTTTTTTCATGTTTAGTTCACAAAATGGTTGAGGCAGCCCTGACCCATTTCTGCATTTTTCTATGAAATCTGGTTTTGTGTGTTCAAGAATTTTATACTTAATATTCACATCTCTAGTCTGGTCATGCCAAGAAAAGGTGAGGGCAGCTGGGGAGGCCAGAAATGAAGGGAGCACAAGACAAAGTTCTTCCCAGTTAGTAAAATAGCATAAGCGACCCTCTCCACCTGCCCTGACTCCTTCTATCTCCTCTCTCCCCCTCCCCGGCCCCTATCCCTGGTTGAAAGCAGGCTGGGTCTGGAGAGCCTCTCACACAGATTTGCCATTTGCTTCTCTGTTTGTGCCCACAGGAGGGACTGGCCAGAACAGGATAGATTGTCAAGCTGTGCTGGGTGGGACTGCTGGTCACATGACCTTCTCTGTTTCCCCCACACCAAGTAGGGTTCCAAGACCAGTAGTATCAGTGTCTCTTAAAAGCCTCACCAGAAATACAGATCTCAGGCCCTGGCCCTGGCTTGCTGGCTCAGAATCTGCATCTTAATAAGATACTCCCAGGGATCACTATGAATATTAAATTAAACCACTGCCTTAGAGACTCAAAGGATACTTTTGGGATTGGAGGAAATTCAGTTCAAGAGTTATCAAACATATCAGAACTCCTTCTCTTGGAGTCCTGGCCCTGGATCCTCAAATTGGTACTCCTCTAATACTCTAATGTCATCCCCAATACAGCATAAATATCAGTTTATTTGTCCTTTTCCCCCACTCGATGGAGTGTCCTGAATTTCCAGATGGTATATTTTCCATCTCTGAGCACGTTTGTTGGATGGATGAATAAACGTACAAATGAATGAGGCTTTCATATGAGGTTCCAGGGATACTTTTATTCAGTGCTTTACTCTTTGTTGGCTTTGAAGCAAAGAAAAAGCTGCTTCTTGAAATCTTTCTTGTCCTCTGATGTCACCAGGCAATATGTTTGCTTGCAACAGAAAATGCACTTACCGTCCTCTTGTAAATGGTAAACCCTTTACAAACATTTTCATTGAACCATAGTATCTACTCATAAAAGTGCACATATCATAAGTGCATAGCTCACTGAGCTTTATAAACTGAACACACACCAGTGCAATCAGTACCCAGATTAGATACAGAGCATCACCACCACCCCACTAGATGGCCCCCTCAAATTCTCTCCTATTCTTTAT